AGGAGCCCCCCGTGCTGGCAGGGGCTGCTTTGCACCCGGGTCCGTGCCCTTACCTGCAGGTTGGTGATGTCCCCGCTCATGCACGGTGATATTTTGAGCTCATATCTTCCTTTCCCAATAAGCACCTGGATGTGTCCTCTTGCAATCAGCGGCTCTGCCACTGCAGATGGAGAAGAAAGCCCTGAGCCCCCCAGGTCCCTGCCGAGCTCCAGGGGGGGTTACATGCAAGGAGGGGGAGCTCCAGGGGAGGTTACAGACACCAAGGCTGGCACTGCCCAGCCCCAGCTCACCTGCACGTCACAGCCTCAGGGGAGACAGGACAGCCTGGGCTCACTCTGCCTTCCCCGTTCCCCACAGACATAGCTCCATCTGCTCTCTGGAGATGACCTGTGCCCCCCTCCGAGCCAGTGGGGCTGCTCCCCCCTTGCCGGCAGCCCGAGCTTAGTATGTCCCACGCACCTCCATCCTGCGCGAAGGTCAGCACCACTTGGCCAGAGTCATCCAGGAACTCCCTGCTCTCCACCTCGCCGCCCCCATTCTTCGTCTTGCTGAAGAAGAGCTCCAGCTTGTCCAGCAGCGCCTCATCGGGGATGCCCAGGCTGGGCAGGTCAGACACGAGGATACTCCTGCTGCTCCGAGTCAGGCCGATCTGAAGGTGGCACAGGCCAGTCAGTGCCGGGGCAGGGCAGGGCCGGCCCCGGCGCTGGGGGAGCAGAGCAGAGCTGCAACACTGACACGCTGAGCTGCGCTGGTACCAGTGACCCAGCAGAGGCGAGCTTGGCTAGCAGCGGGGCCGGGCACAGCAAAGCCGGTGCGTGCCCAGGGCAGCTCTGTGGTTGTCCATGGTGTGGGGAGCAGTGGGCGCTCGGGACCCACCTCCAGGGCAGACGGCAGCAGTACATCCACTGGCGCTGCCTGCACACGCACTCTGCACCGGTCAAGCTCCTCCAGCTCCTCCCCGCAGCTCAGCTCCACCATGTGCTCCTTCAGCTCTATGATCCTCTGGGCCACTGCAAGCAGGGAGAGCCCCCAGCACAGGGGATCAACTGCCGGCTCTGAGCGCGCCGTGGGACAGGACATGGGGCAGCTCATGCTTTGGGGAGGGGGCACAACCCCGTACAACACCGGCGGAGGGGGCAGAGCTGCGAGCCCTGGCCCGGGGAGGAATGCAGGGCAGACCCCAAAGCCCATCGCCAGCAGTGCTCTTCTCGCTCTTACCCTCTGCCTTCTCAAAGGTGATGAGAGCTGAGCCCCCCAGCAGAGGGTAGCGGATCAGTGGGGTGAGCATCAGTTTGTTCATGTCCTCCTTGTTTGTCACAAGTCCCTTAAACACCATTTTCTTCTCCGGCAAAGCAGGCAGCATCTAGGTTCAAGTACACAGACAGCACCTGGAGGAGACCGGACCCCACACAGGGCCTGTCCCTGCCAATCCGCACACTACAAACAAGCTCATGGCTCAAAATAAACAGCTGGAGAAGCTCAGTAGAGTCTCTCCTAGGGTCCGGCTGTGCCTGGAGTCCCAAAGACACAACTGGAGCTTCTGGCCCTGGCAGAGGAGCTGTGCCAGTCGTCGTGCAGTGCCCAGCTGCATTCGCCTCCAGCCTCTCCAGCCAGGCCCGCGCCCCTCGCCACCAGACCCACGTGCCCACACTCTGTTACCGTCACCGGATCCTCCCAGACGACCCTCTTCCTCACTTCTTCCAGTTTCTTTTTCAGCACCTGCTTCTCCTGCCTCAGGCTGTTGTTCTCCTCCTTTGCTAATAAAATCCCCACCTGGAAGGAAAGAAAGAGGGGGCAGTAAGGGAACCACCAGGACGCGAGGGGCTGCACACACCCTCCGGTGTAAGCACCGAGTTCTTGGACACAGCTGCACTGCCACCGCACAAGCTCACTTCGTGGCACAGGCCTGATGTGACCTTCCGTGAAACCTCCACCGGGTCCAGATGTTGATAGATATTAGTTGTTTAGCTTAAGTAAGTAAGTTTTAATTAGAATAAATTGCTTAGGGTTATAATACGGTGTCATTTATGCTGTTTGCCTTACTTTACTTAGCATGAGCAGCTAGATTTGCTGAAGACTTTAGGCCACAATAGAGTTAATTTTCTTAGTAATTTTCCTAGCAGCTGGTACAGTGCTGTGTTTAGCCTTTTAGTATAAGAAAACTGTTGATAACACACTGATGTTTTGGTAGTGTTTTCCATAAGTCTGGGACTTTTCAGTTCCCCAATGAGCGCAGACGCACAAGAAGCGGAAACCAGAAGATAAGGAGGCTGCAACAGTCAGCAGAGACTTCGAGTCAGCGAGATAAGAGCAGCCAATGGCCATTTGGGACACAGAAAAAGAATCCAAAAAGGTGTTAGAAGACCCCAGACCAAAAATCACCATTGCACTGAAAGACATGTGAACAGCGCCTGAAGGGCGGGTGCACAGAACGCGAGAGTGTCATTGCCGAGGGATTTTCTTGTTCATCGTCCCTCTCTGGGGATGCCCAGCCCGGCCTGACGCTGCTGCCCCACCTTTCAATTGCAGTATTTATTTTTATAAAATCCAACTCCTGAAACTCTGCTGTGGGAAACTGAGGGTCACGGCTGAAGGAGGGAGTGCGCCCGGGAGTAAGCATGTGTGTGGCGTGGGAAGGGGCACCCATGGGCTCACGGGAGTCACCCACTGCGGGGGTCACCCAGTCCTGGCAGCAACAGACTCGCGTGGTGCGTGCAACCCCTCGAGTGGGGTGCGGACACTCGGGCAGTGGACTCTCCTTTAACAGTTTGGCACCCCCGATGGGATGTTTACTCAGATGTTTGCCCAGCTTTACTCAGCACCAGTAGTTCTTTTAACACTGAGCAAAGTGACCTCAGCGCAGTGAGCCAAGCAATGCAGCCCCACCACCCACCGCCACCTTTCTCAGCCCAAGACAACTCCTCTGACCACCAACCTGAAAGGATCTCTCCTCGTCTCTGTTTAAAGACAGTTGTTGCTCAAGGTTTTTATGAAGAAGTTCTCCCTCTTTCCTCAGCTCTCGTGTCCTTTGCTCTACAGCGTCCATGGCCGTTTGTAGCTCCGCGTGGTCGCGCTCCAGAGCGCTACAAAGCTCCTGGGAGAGACCCCATCAGACGGCGAGACCCGGCGGAGCTGGTGCCC